TTCAGAAAGAGAGAAAATCTCAGAGAGATTAAACCCTAGTTTGAGAGCTTGTAATTCTTCTTCAATTAATAAAGAGATTGTGTGGTGTGGCTCCCGAGGACGTAGGCACGTTACCGAACCTCGTTAAATTTATGTGTTCATCTCCTTTACTATTTTTGTAAGGTTAGATCTTTATTTGTGGTATTATTCCTACTTTCCTACTTTCAACACAAGGTTTGGAAGGATAAGAGTTCGATTGATTGTTTCGAATCCCTAACAAGATTAGCTTGGGCTACAAAGATTCTTCTCATTTTCGTATATCTTCCCGCATGGTGAGAAGATCATAAAGTTCATCGTAGGAGATTAGTGTGGAGCTAGCTCGAAGAGCAGCGGTTAAGGTCTTGCATTCAACATTTAACACCACGAAAAATGTGCAAAACCAGATCGTCCTCAGAGATTGGATTACTATCAAGAGAGAGATCATCAGAAATGCATTTCATAGTTTGGAGATGCTCACACATGGGTTTGTTGTCTTGGTGAGCGAGAGTGAATATTTCCTTTAAAGACATGACTCGCGCCCTTGTTTTTCTAGCACATATGCGTTCTAGTTTTTGCCACGCCTCTGTAGAGGTGGTCGCGAAGCTGACTTGTGCCGTAGATGTAGGTGAATTAGACACCATGATCGCCCATGACCCTTCACAGTAGCGAGGCATTGTTTTCACTTACACGGGGTGGTTGGTGGATGTGAGTTTTAGTGGGAGTTGAGCGGCATTGATGGAGATGAGAACTTGGGAATTAGGATTAAGGATGCAGGAGGTTTGATCAAAGGCCATGGAGAATCGAATGCTGTTAAGGCTAGATAAGCTCTGATACCATAAAAAGGTTTTTATTCAGAGTATTTTTGATGATGTTCAATCAGGTAATGCAATGAGTATTTATATGGCTGCACCCTTGAAGTGGTTATCTATTGAGTAGGAACTAATTGAAGACTTAATTCAAAATAATTTAAATAAGTAACTAATTGAAGATTTATTCAAATTAGGGCCCATTCGGTTGGTAGGAAGTATTATAAGTAAGAAGTAAATCAAATATGTTACTTCTAAATTTATGAAGTAGGAAGTAGCGGAAGTATTACATTTTTTTGTTTATTTCGTAAATTTTTAGAAGCAGAGAAAATAGTGTTTTTTCCACTTTATTATCTTTTTTTTGGATAGCAATTAAAAATATTGTTAGGAAAAGAGAAAGAAAATATTTTGAGATTTTATTTAGACTAAGAGAATATCTATATAATGACAAAATTGATTTCATTCCTAAATTAACTCAATTTTAGGTACTTCTAAGGTACTTTTGAGCCTGGAGGAGAAAAAAAAACTTAAGAAGTAGAGATGACATGTTGTCGCCATGTCATCTTCTATGGAAGTACTGAAATTAACTTTTTCAGAGAAATAAACATACTTTTGTTCTCACAAGTAGTAAAAATGACATCTATTTCCTCTACTTCACTTACTTTATAGCTACTTTCATGCAAATAAATAGGCCTTTAGCTGATTTGGAGGAGAAGGTTGAGATTTGTCAGGTCCTTCACAATATTATGGTTGGGCGGGATGTTGGGTATCTACTCAAACTCCAAGTTGGGATAGAGTTTTTAATTCTTTGTATAACTTCATGAGAATTAGATAAGGTTAGAGATCTATCATGATTAGGAGTTTGGGTTCCATCATGATTGGGAGTTTGAATCTTATTCTAATTAGGAAGTTAGACTAGAGATAGGGTTTTGGTTTTTCTATATATATCCTTCTATTATTAGAGAAAAAAAAAGAGAAGAAAAAGAAGTGTAGACAGAGAGAGGGTTTGGCAGTCTTTATCCGTGCAAAAGATTGTAATTTGGAGGTGATAGCGGATTGATTTTGATCCCGTGGTTTTTCCTGTTGAAGGTTTTTCACGTTAAATCTTGTGTGATTTTATTTGCTGCGTTTGGTGGTTTTTTGGGGGTTTTTACGAGATCTAAAAATCCCTACAAGTGGTATCAGAGCGGGGTTCGACGATTCGTGGAGATTCGAGATTAGCAACGACATTGGCGGCAACGACTATAGCAACAGCACTGTTCATAGAGAGGTACTGTAGCGGAGGAACTGTTCATGACGACGCACTGTTCACGGTACTGTAGCGGCGATATTGTAGTGACGACAGATCCGACGGTTGAGGTTGATTTGTCTTTTGATCGAGAATTTGAAGGCGGATTTCTGTGATCCAGGAGTCGTTCCTAGGGTTTTTCGACATGCTGAGTTCGTTTTTATGTCGGTTTTATCAAATTCAATCTCTATAGGGACTGATTTGAATTTTGATCATGGTTAGAGGATGATGACTTCTTCGGGTCCGAAGTTTGATATTCTGCTATTCAATGGCAAGACAAATTTTGTAGTATGGCAGTACACGATTCAAGATATTCTTGTGCAGCAGGGTGTTGATCAAGTTTTGGAGGAGAAGAAACCTGAAGGATTGAAGGATGTTGAATGGAGTTCCATGCAAAAGAGGGCGATTAACACAATTCGTTTGACACTCGCCCCCGAGATCAAGTACAATGTTATGCAAGAGACCACACCAAGAGGGCTGTGGGAAAGGCTCGAGGGGATTTATGCATCAAAATCGATGACCAACTGATTGTGTTTGAGGATGAAGCTTTATTCGTTAAAGATGGAAGAAGGTACTGTAATTCAAGACCACATTAATGCCTTTAATCAGCTAGTTTGCCAACTTATGAATATTGATGAGGAGATTAAAGGAGAAGAGCAGGCACTACTCCTATTGTCTTCCTTGCCGAAGTCGTACAAGTCATTAGTTCAGACGATAATTGTAGGGAAGCAGACTTTGAAGTTCGACGATGTGACAACACTCCTATGTGAGAATGAAAGAATGATGGGAAAGGAGAGCGCATCTAATGGTGGTGAGAGTGCACTAGCTTTTGAAGGTTCTAATCGAGGGAGGAGTACGAGGAGATATGACAGTTATCGAGGAAGGTCAAAATCTCGGGCCCGAGATGACAGCAAAAAGGAGTGCTATTATTGCGGAGAGAAGGGTCACATTCAGTTTAGATATTCCCAGATGCGTGATGATAAGAAGAGTATTAGACAGATAAAGCTTCAAGAAAATGGGAAGAAGACGGACTCCTCAGTGGTTGTGTGTGATGAAGATGTGGTTTTATTGAGGAAGAAGACGGACTCCTCAGTGGTTGTGTGTGATGAAGATGTGGTTTTATTGATGCAGAGTACAAGTACTGATGCGAGTAACACTTGGGTGTTAGATTCTGCAGCCTCTATGCATGTTTGCAACAACAAAAATTATTTTAACACATTAAAGACAAATGAAGAATTTGACGACATGATTGTTGGAAACAACGAGAAGATGAAAGTTGAAGGTGTTGGAAGTGTTCGCCTCAAGCTTCACACTGGGAAGGTCGGAATTCTTCATCATGTGAGATATGTACCGACATGTGGTGCTAATTTAATTTCGCTAGGTGAGATGGCATCACGTGGGTACAAGTATGTGGGTGAATGAGAGTGGTGCAATGTGTATAGAGATGGCGATTTGATTTTACGAGGGAGGAAGAATAACAATCATATTTGCTATTTAGATGGGCGATCCGTTAATGGTGCAGATTACTCTTCTCAGACTCTGGTCCACAAGGGAGAGATGAAGAACAAGAAAAAGAGAGTGAGTTTTTCTGAAGTCGTTGAGACACTTGGAGATTTTTCGTCGAGGGAGGATATGTTGGGTATCTACTTAAACTCCAAGTTGGGATATAGTTTTTAATTCTTTGTATAACTTCATGAGAATTAGATAAGGTTAGAGATCTATCATGATTAGGAGTTTGGGTTCTATCATGATTGGGAGTTTAAATATTATTCTAATTAGGAAGTTAGACTAGAGATAGAGTTTTGGTTTCTCTATATATATCCTTCTATTGTTAGAGAAAAAAAAAGGAGAAGAAAAAGAAGTGTAGAGAGAGAGGGTTTGACAGTCTTTATCCGTGCAAAAGATTATAATTTGGAGGTGATAGTGGATTAATTTTGATCCCGTGGTTTTTCCCTGTTGAGGGTTTTCCACGTTAAATCTTGTGTGATTTTATTTGCTGCGTTTGGTGGGTTTTTGAGGGGTTTTTATGAGATCTATTGTTTGATAATTCATTAACCCCTGTTTGGCACAAATGAACTCGGCGTGCCGTGCAGGGTTCTAATAGAAAACGCACTCTACTTAAATACCATAAAGTTTTAAAATATTTCATATTTTCACCATCGATTATGCAAACATGAGAACTTTATCTAGAAAATTCTCATGCAACACTCACATACTATTTCTAGAACATTTTAACCCTTTATTATTATTATTATTTTGCTAAGACCTACTTTTAAACATATTAAAATCCTATTTTAACTCTATCCTTGTTCTACCTTAAAATAAAATTTAGATAGGCTTAGGAATAAAATTAACTGATGGTAAGCATTACAATATTCTAAAATTAGTAGATGAGCATCACATGTGAATTTTCAGAATTAAATGCTCATGTTTGCATAACTGAGGGTACTAAAGTTTAGCTTTTAGAAACGTAACTAAAGTCATTTACAGCTAATGGTAATTATATACAATACTGGGTTAAAAATAGGGAATTCAATTATAATTTACTCAAGAACTTGAATTACCATGATTGTGTTTATTACCTTAAAAGTATCCATTTCACCTACTTGTTTCGCACCATGGAAGTCTTAAAGATGTTAGTTTTCGATAAATTAAGTGAGAAAAATTCAGAAGAGCTCAATCAAAATTTCAAAGTTTATGAGCGTTATCTGCAACAGCCACAAACTTGAGAAAAGTTTCTAAAATAAAAATAGTTGGGAGAGGGGCCTCTTAAAAGTAACCCAAATACAAACGGATCCATAGCCGTAAGCGGATATTCAATACCCGACCCCAATCCAACCCGTTATCACCGCCTCGGACGAACAATCACTTGTACCTTATCGTTCTGC